ACACATTAGGGCTCAGGCTCCTGACTCCAGCTTCCCGCCAGGGCAGACCCTGGGAATCAGTGGTGATGGCTCGAATAACTGGGTTCTTGCCACCAATGTCAGATACCTGGATTAGTTCCTAATTCCTAGTTTCAGCCCTGGGACCATTTTGGGCATTGTAGGAGTGAGCTAGAAAATGGAGATCCCTCTCCCCTCTCTCTCTCTTTCTCTCTCTCTCTCTCTCTTTCTCTCTCTCTCAACCTCCTTTGCTTTTCAAATAAGATGAAAATAATTAAAATTAAATGCCTGTGATAGTGGTTTGTGCTAGAGACTTGATATCTATATATGTACACATTCACACATACATAAACACATATCCCAATAAGTAAATAAATTCTTAACCGTAAGACCCAAAACTCTAAAACGACTAGAGGAATGCAGAGGGAAAGGTCCATGGCATTGATCTGAGCAGTAATTTCTTGGATGTGACCCCAAAGGCATGGGCGGCAAAAGCAACAAATAGACATATGAGATTGCATACAAGAAAATCCTTCTCCAAGCAAAGGAAACAAGCAACAGAGTAGAGAACTGACGCACACACTGAGAGAATATTTGAAATCATTTATCAGGTGAGGGGCTACTATCTTAATACAAAGAACTCAAATGAATCAGTAAACAAGAAAACATCCCCTGAATGGACACTTCTCGAAAGAAGACATACAAGTAACCATTCTCCAATTATCAGAGAAATGCAAATTAAAATCACAACAGATGAGGCCAGTGTTGTGACACTGTGGGTAAGCTGCCACCTGAGACGCTACATCCCACCTGGGCACTGGTTTTTGTCCCACTCACTTCCCTTCCAATCCAGCTCCTCTGCTAATGAGCTGGGAAAAGCAGTGGAGGACAGCCCACGTGTTTGTGCCCCTGCACCAGGAGCTCCTGGCTCCTGGCTTCGGCCTGGCACAGCTTGGCCATTTCGGCCATCTGGGGAGCAAACCACCAGATGAAAGAGCCCTCTCTCTGTCCCTCCCTCTCTCTTCCAACTCTAACTTTCAAATAAACATATTAAATCTTTAAAATAGATTAAATAAAATAAAACCATGTAAGACATCATGTCACTCCACCAACTGGCTATTACCAAAAGACCCAGGCCACAGGTGCAGAAAGAGGGATCTAGCACACTTCTCAGGGGAACGTCAGTCAGTACAGCATTTTGAAAACAAGCACAGAGGGTCCCTAAAGGCTAAAAACAACTCAAGCTCTCCCACGACCGCACCAGCCCACATCCGGATTTATGCACATGTGCATGTAAGGTGTATACGTACATGTATTTCATGTGTGTATGTACATGTGTGTGATATCTGTGTGTGACATGTGTGTGTAATATGCATGTGTATATGTATGTGATTTGTACATGTGAATATGTGTGTATGTGATATATACAAGAATACATATATGTATATGCAGAGCCATGTCTTCACTTACATGTCCACTGCAGCACTGCTCACCACAGCCAAGACAATGGAAATGCATGAATGCCCCTTGGCAGGTGAATGGACAAGGAACAGCAGCTGCAACACACCCAGGAATACCCAGACCCAAAATACCCACAGGAGGGTCTGTCATTTACAGCATGTTCATGGAGATGAAAGTCATGCACTGTATACGAGGACTCTAAAGTCCTTAAAACACAGGATTGAAATGTTCTTACTGGGGCTGGTGTTACAGCACAGGTGGTTAAGTCACCGCCTGTGTCCCCAGAACCCCATGTGAACACCAGTTCATGTCTTGGCTACTCCACTTCTGATCCAGTTCTCTGCTAACATGCCTGGAAAGGAGCAGGAGATGGCCCAAGCTTGGGCCCCTGACACACACACTGGAAACCTAGATGGTTTTCCAGATTCCTGACTTCTGCCAGGCATAGTCCCAGCCATTGTGGCTACTTGGGAGTGAACCAGCAGATGGAAAATCTTTCTTCTCTCCCTCTCTGTGTTTGTGTGTGTGTGGGCATGCACATGTGTCCCTGTGTGTCTCCCTCATCCCACACCCATAACTGCCCTTCAAGTAATAAATAAATCTTAAAAAAATAAAAGAAGGGGAAGAAATACCAGAGAGCTGATCTGTCTCCACCCCATTAGAACACAGCAAGAAGATGGCCACCCTCACCAGGACCCAACCATGCTAGCACCTGGGTCAGACTTGCAATGCTGAGAACCGTCAGAAAATCAATGTCTGTGGTCAGGCCAGGCCAGGTGTGGGGTTTGTTACAGTAGCTTGAGCTGACTAACACACCCCCCAAGGCCTCCAGAAGAGCATGTGACAACCTGACACAGCTAACCCGTGAACTCACATCCCCACGCGGCCAGGCCTGGTGCTGCAGCAGATACAATTCCCATTGCCCCCAGCTCCGTCTCCTTACTGGCATCACCAGATGGGAGAACTCCATCATCACCACTGTGTGTTCCACACAGCAGGTACACTTGGGGGAAAAATCACAGCATTCCACTCCCTCAGGACAACCACCTAGCACATCAGGACAAGATGGTCAAGAGTGGGAATTGAGAAACTGTCTCTATAATGTGCCTGCAGTAAGCCACGCTGCTAACCAAGTGCAGGGGCAAGGTCTCGGTTGAGCGAGTCACATGACCGGTGGTGGGTGCTGTCGCTCCCCCTCTTCGCGGAGGAACGACACAGGACCCTGCGCTGTTCTTTTATCTGCTCGGCCCTGCCCCGGGTTTGCTGGCTGGTTCTTCCCGGTTGGCTACCGTCCCGTCCACCTCCGGGGAAGGCGGTTCCCCCTAGCCACTTTCCCCACTTCCGCAGGGGAGCGGCAACCGCCGGCCGGCTCTCTCGGGGCTGCACAGTGTTCCCTCAGATGTTCCTGGTGCATGTTGTCTCTCTCCTCCTTTATAGTCCTCTTCCACCAATCCCAACTCTGCTACCCACACGCCGAGTACGCTGCTCTCCTCCATCAGGATATGTCCTACAGTTTATTGGTTGAACTGGAGGCAGCTGTGTAAAAGCTGTTTTCTCCCTTCTCAGCGCCATATTGTGGGAGAGCAGATGCATAGAATAAGTCTTAATTCCAGTAACTTAGTCTAGTCCAGTTGCTCCCCACAGATCCCCCTTTCTTTTTATTTTTGGCGTTGATACGCGCCTGTCTTCGGTGCCCCATGGCTCCACTCTGCTCTGCTTGCTGGAGTTGCCCACAGGTGCTTACAAGCCTATCAATCAGGCAAACCGAATCCGGGTCCTCTCTTTGCCATGTTGTGAGGAGGTTTTTAGGCGCTGATGCGTGCCTGTGTTCGGTGCCCTGCAGCACATGCTCTGCTCTGCTAGAACTGCCTGCAGGTGCTTACAAGCCCTAACAATCAGGCAAACCGAATCCAAGCCTTCTCATTGCCTTATTGTGGGGAGACTTATTGGTGTTGATAACGTGCCTGTCTTCTGTGACCTGCAGCCACCCACAGGTGCTTATCGTCTTACTAATCAGGCAGACCAATCCAAGCTCTCTCATTGCCATGTGAGGGGAGGCCTTGTTTTTCTCTATTTCTCTATCTCCGGGCATTCCTATCTCTCCCATTTTACTTCTATCTGCCAGCATTCCTATTTCTCTCATTTTACTTCTAAAACTTCTGTTTCTCTTATCCCTGCGGCTTCCCGGCGCCCGCCCCGAGGCTGCCTCTTGGCAGCTTCCCCGGCTCTGAGCCACTTCAGCCCGTGCTTCTCTCATCTGCGTGGCTTCCCGGCTTTGCGCGCGCACAGTCCGCGGTCTCCGCGCCCCTTCGCGCCCGCACCACGGCCTCACACTAGCCCCACGTTCCCTATCTATTCACACCCCGTGCCGCTCATCTCTGCATGCGGCGGCTTCCGTGAGTCACACAGCGTAGCTTACGTTTCCGCCACCGGTATTCAATCTAAGTTCCCTGGGCTAACCTGGCGAATTCAACCTAGCTTACGTGTCTCCGCCTTATGGTTTGGCTTCCCGTCTTTTGCTCCCAGGGCTAATCTGACGGATTCCAACCTGCCCACGTTTCCACCTCTGGTTAACTTTTCACCTTTTGCTCCCCGGGCTGACTTAAAGAATTCCAAGCTGGCTTACGTCTCCGCCTCGGCCCTGCCCCCGCAGCTTCATCCTCCCTAACAATTTTTCTCTACCCTGTATGTTTCCCTAAGTTTTCTTCCAACAATATTCCTCCCTCATTTCTCCTGGCTTCTCCCCGCAGTCCGTATCCAAGTCTGTTTGTTCTAGCTTTCACTTTCGCTTTCGACTTAGAGATTTCTCCCAGCTTCCCCCCGTAGTCCGTATCTGAGTCTATGCCTAGGCTTTTGATAGCTTTCTTCCGGCACCTTTTCCGTCCGGCTTTTCCCTAGCTCTTTACTAGTCTCTCTCTCCAGTATTTTCCCACTTCTTCCTGTTTCTTCCCTCCTAGGTTTCCTATCCGAGTCAACGGCACCATTATGTCGCTCCCCCTCTTCGTGGAGGAACGACACAGGACCCTGCCGCTGTTCTTCCATCTGCTCGGCCCTTCCCAGGCTTGCTGCTGGTTCTTCCCGGTTGGCTACCGTCACTTCCACCTCCGTGGAAGGGCGGTTCCCCTAGCCACTTTCCCCACTTCCAGCGGGGAGTGGCACACCACCGGCCGGCTCTCTCAGGGGATGCACAGGTGTTCCTCTTAGATGTTCCCCTCAGATGTTCCTGGTGCATGTTGTCTCTCTCCTCCTTTATAGTCCTCTTCCACCAATCCCAACTCTGCTACCCACACACCGAGTACGCTGCTCTCCTCCAATCAGGAGTAGGTCCTACATTTATTGGTTGAACTGGAGGCAGCTGTGTAGAAGCTGTTTCTCCCTTCTCAGCGCCATATTGTGGGAGAGCAGATGCATAGAATAAGTCTTAATTCCAGTAACTTAGTCTAGTCCGAGTTTGCTCCCCACAGGTGCCACAGAGAGCTGGCTACAACACTACACCTGGGAGCAGGTGAGCTTCTCAGAAATGAGGGAGCCGCTTACCATCACTCAGGTCCTGCAGGAGACCCTCCTGGCAGGAGAAGTCCAGGCTCGCTTTGATGGTGACAGTGAAGGTGGCTGCTTGCCCAGTCTGCAGGGGGAACTGGCGAGGGTTTCTTCCAGCTTCCAGCTCAGGAAGTTGCCATACAGTTTCTCTGCAATGATAACAACAATAGTGATGTGATGGTGATGGCAGAGCAGAGGCACAATGAGACTGACACCAACCCGGCTGGGAAATTCTGGCACACGCTCAAAAACAAAAGTGAGAACCATTCAAGATGTCAGAAAGCAAAGTCCTAGGAAAAGCCCTGAATCAGAAGAGCCGTGAGGCACAAAGAGGAGGGAGAATGCATCACACCAAGGCACAGGCCCAAGGCCAGGCCACCGTCCCTCCTGGGGAGCCGCGGGATCTGCAGAGAAATGAAGGCCTGTGGCTCTGGCAAGTGAAGCTAAGTTTCTCCACCATGAACATTTTCTGTATTGTACTGCTGTGAGGGAAACAGACCCATGTAAAGCAGGGACACTGCTTCAGAGAAAGGAATCCAGAATTAGAAACACACAGCTAAGAGCAGAGCCTCAGGCAGGGCCAGCGAGGAAGCGGCCTTGGGCCTGGAGCACTGTGCAGAATGGTAAATCCTGAGCTGCGGTTTGTCTGCAGACAGCATGGGGGCGACGGCCACTGCATCGGGGGCTGGTGCAGAAGCTGTGCACGGTGACCAGCACCGTGGCTCACTAGGCTAATCCTCCGCATTGCAGTGCCGGCACACTGGGTTCTAGTCCCGGTCGGGGCGCTGGATTCTGTCCCGGTTGCCCCTCTTCCAGGCCAGCTGTCTGCTGTGGCCAGGGAGTGCAGTGGAGGATGGCCCAAGTGCTTGGGCCCTGCACCCCATGGGAGACCAGAAGCACCTGGCTCCTGCCATCGGATCAGCGCGTATGCTGGCCACGGCGGCCATTGGAGGGTGAACCAATGGCAAAGGAAGACCTTTCTCTCTGTCTCTCTCTCACTGTCCACTCTGCCTGTCAAAAATAAAAAAAAAGAAGCTGTGCATGGTGACCTCTGCAGAGAACAGGGCAGGGGGCATCATCATTGCATCAGGGGCTGGTGCAGAGGTTGCACACGGTGACCTCGCAGAGAATGGAGTGGGGTCATCATCACTCACAGCAAGGCACCCTATGGAAGGACAGGAAGAGACACAGGGGACACCCAGTGTGGCCTGGGAAGTGGCCATCCCTCCTTCATTAGTAACTGGGAGTGAGATGTGAGACATCCAACCAAGGCCCAGTATTCTCTGCAGCCAGCACACCTGGGAAAACTGACAACCTCCAATGGCTGTGCCACAAGGTCAGCTTCCAACTCTGCTCCACTGAGAAGCTCCCAGCCCCACTGCCCTCCTGCTCACAGGGGCAAGCACAGATGCCGCACAGCCCTGAGCAGTGAGGTCCAGTGTTCGGCCAGCCAGCAGAATGACACAGACACACCGAGCACTGCAGGGGGGTCAGTCATGGCTCCTGGGCAGTGCACTGCAGAGCCTAGGGTCCAGGTATGCAGCACGAGGAAACCCTCCCAGAGAGACTTGAGGGGAGGAAAGAAGCCAGCGATGGTTAGTAGGAGGAGATTCTGGTCCTGTGCTGTGTCCAGCACGATCTTGGTATGTGGCACAGCTTAATAGATGTCACGCTCAAAACCGCCTTCACACACTGGTTTTGTGGTCTGTCTCCGTGTAGCCGCAGCACGTGGGGACTTCAGACATTCACAGCAGCCATCCTTAGTGGGCAAGGCACTGCCCTAGCCCACAAAGATCGTTGAAGCCTGTGTGTGTTCCTACTCTCCAGTCTGCACCGCAGCCCTGAGGTCCAAACTACCCTGGGACACCTGCTCTGGGTGCTGTAGCAGCTCCAGACGGAAGTTATGCCATTCCTCCCGCACCACGGATGGGACCGAGACCCTCCAGCAACCCAGGAAGTCTATAAAGATATTACATGGATTTTAATGAACTCCACTTTTTTGCTTTTTAGCCCGGTCAATCCATTCAGGAATGGAATGGATAAGAGATGCCAGGTGACAGAGAGCCAAGTGGACCCTGCTTACTAGGGCCAGTTCCAAGGCCCCAAGAACACAAATGCAAGCTGACTGCCCCCGTGGCCTATGCATGAGCCACACCAGCAGCCACCCCCTTCCTAAGCACAGCCCATGTCAGACAAGACACCAAGGCCTTGCAAAATCTCACCTCCCAACATCCTCTCCAAGCTGTTTCTAGAGCACAGTCTGTGTAAATGGCAGCCACTATGTCAGCTGCCCGTTCACACAGCCGGGATGGGCAGGAAGCATGGGCAGGCTCTGAGCGAGCGCTCCTGCAGCAGGAGGAGCGCACACACTGAGGGGCCTCAGGAGGGCACTCTGGCCCACATGCTGCCAGCTCTCCTCCACCAGCACAGCCTGTGCCTCTGTGGAGAGGGCCAGGCCCACTGTCTCCACAGAGGGGTCCCACTTGTCCTCCACAGCCCCACTCATGGGCTGCGTTCCTGTGGGCCTTGTCCCCCACACACATACACACCCTTCCATGCCCTGACAAGTAGGATACTATATCCAAGGGACTCATTCTCCTACCAATCAATCAATCAATGGATGGCACCAGCCCCCAACACTGAGACCCAGCACCTGCCTGGAGAGGCAGGCACCATGAGGGTTAGGAGCACCAGCTTCAGGACAGGGCATCTCTCCTCACCTGCCAGCCCTGGCTGTGTGTCCTAAGTGAGCCACCAAACATCCGTGTCTGTCAGTTTAGCCATCTGTAAGATGGGCTGTCATGCCAGGTCAACAAGGTAATAGAAGCCAAGTGCTTAGAACACAGTATGGACTAGAACAGCACTTGGGCAGTGTTAATGACTCCTCCCATGTCTCAAAAACCCCTCTCTCCTTGTCCTAAGTGAGTAGTCCCTCCCCAGGGCCGTGTGAGGATGAGCTAGCCCTGCAGAGTGTGGGACCCCGGCCCAGCAGTCAGCAGGCGCACTCTAGCACTAGCTGCCACCATATTTCTGCCCCTCCATCCATGAACAGGACCTGGCACGGGGAAGAAGACAAAAGTGACAACAGTGTGGACCAAGTCACAGTGTTCGGTTTATAATTCGGTTTATAATTAGAACAGATGGAAACAAGTTACACGGAAAAAAAAAAACCAGGATGCCACACTGAATGTACAATGTAATTTCAAATGCATAAAAGTACTCAAGTAGAAAAAATGAAAACATATCTATATACTAATATTAGTTTGCTTGGAGTCATGGGATCATGGATAATTTCAAATGGTTTTGTATTTTTTGAATTTTCTGCAATGAGCTTTTATCATGCTTTTATAAAGAAATACACACAAGGATACTTCAAGAAGTTCACAGAAAATAGAATTAAAGGGTAAGTTTATTTGATGCCAAAAAAGATTAAAATGCTTGCATATGAGGGACCTTCAAATCATTCATGAGAAAAGTACATTATGAATAAAGCATGCGTGGATTTCAAAAACGTTTGGCACCAAATAAATTACTTTTAGTTCTGTTCTTCCATGAGCTTTGGGAAGTCCCCTTGAGCCTGAACACACACACACACACACACACACACTTGTATAAATCTGCGCTAATAGCTCTCTAAGTCTAGGCCCCTGCCCCCTATAACCTGGTTTCATGCAGGAGAAGCCTGTGGGTCCTGGCTGAACATCCACATGCAAGACCAACCACACACACAAGGCCTGTGGCCCACCTGACAGAGAGGTGGGTTCTGAGCCAATGCAGATGCCTTCATGGTGCCCACACTGTGGCAGGGCAGTAATGTTTCCTGATGACAGGGGCAGCAAATCACAGGGACTGTGTGTCCCCTACCAGGCTCGTCTCAGCCAGCTGAATAAACTTCCCTGGGGCAGCAGATTAACTCTGTGGCAGCCAGTGCATTGGCAGGCAATCAGATGCCTACTAAAATTTGGCCAGGCTAAGGAAAAACTAGCCCCCCACACTAATTAGGTGAGCTCTGCCTCCCATGCCACTACTGTGCTCACTTGGCAAGGCAGGGACCATCCGGAGGGACCATCCAGCAGGAACAGCCCCAGGCAAGCAGGGCAGGAATTGGAGCAACTGCCTAGTTAGCAGCTTCCCAACAGAGATGTCCATCCCAAGTCATAAAAGAATCATTACAGCACAGAGATTTACAGCAATTTGCCCAAAGCCAAGCAGCTGGTAAGTCGTGGAACCAGGACGCGCTTGCATGGCAATGGCCTCCTCCCACCTATCTGAGGCCCTGACCAGAGCCGGAGTGAACTCCAAAGGGAGGCTTCGTACAAGGGAACTTCATGGAGGGCATGCAGAAAACAACACGGAACACTCAAGTATGGGAGCTCTGGCATCTGCCCACCTGAGTGTGAAGCCCAGCTTTGCCCTTCTGCAGCTCTCGGGACAGGTAGGGCTCAAGTCCTCTGTCAGCCAAGATGACCTGTCCTCAGAGGAGGTGGTAACAGAGTCAGCATGATGGTAACATGAAGCAATGCGAAGACTTAGCATAGCAACGCGGCACCCAGAAACTGCTGGGATGATGGATGAGAAAGCCCGGGCCCCAGTGAGGTTTGCTTCTCACATTCCACACTGCCCATTTCACTCGTGCAAGGAGCATTCATTGCACAGCCACTGAGGAGCCTCATGGCAGGCATGAGGCAAGGTTCTGAGGACAAAGAGACCAGGAAGATGTGACCCCTGCCCTCGAGAGGGTCAGGGGAGAGGTCTCTGACTGCACAGTGGAGCCGCCAACATAGACCAGATGGAGATGAGGCTCCCGTGAATCTGAGTAATGTGTAAATATCACCACCACTGCATCATAGAGAACGGGGACAGTAACTGCCTGCTGAATTCACTGCCCACATCTGGGGGCCCAGAACTAAAGGAAGACTCATTGCCCAGTGGCTTGAACTGCTGGGTCCCAGACTTGGCAGCTGCCCATCTAGCCTATCAGAAATCCATAACTAGTGGGGCGGAGGGCTACATGTTACAACCAGCTACAGCACTCTCCTCGCCTGTCCAGAGGGCTTTTCCTTCCTCAAAAGTGCTTCACTGGAGAGATGAACTCTGGGACTGAGGCCAAAGAGCCCTAGGGGCAGGGGGACTGAGAGGGTGGTGTATG